TTTTTATTTTTTCCCGCCAAAATGTTGGCAAAAGTGAAGCAGACAGCCAAAATATGATAATGACAATTTATTTTTATCAACAGATAGAGAGTTATGATCAACATATTTTATTAGCAAACCAAGCAGCTTCTGTTTCGTGAAATACTATGCCATTTTTTATCGCCTAAGACAAATCAAGTGGGTGTAGCAGAGTTTCCGAAAATAACTAACTCCGTGATTTACGGCTCTATAAACTGTATTGTTGTGACTGTTACTTTGCATATGCAAATTACTTGAATCTGGAGAAGGTTTTATGTGCCATCTTCTAAAAATTCTCGGAATGCAGGAAGACAAAATGTCATTGTTGTTGATTTTTAAAACCAATGGTATTCATGTTCGCACAAATAATATCGCAGGGAGCACACTAATTTATAAATTCATTGTTCTGCTTTGGGGTTTGATCTAATAATGTCAATTCATGTTTAAAACAACTTATACAAGTCTCTTCCACTGGGAAACATGTAGCTTTGATTTACAATCATGTTCATGTTAATTCACTACGTTCATGTAAGCGCATGTTTAATACAGAATAATTATAATAGTCACATTCTTCCAGTCAACTATAAATACCAAGATTATTTTTTTGTGTTTCGCGGATTCATTTGTTCGTTCACAATAACAAAATATAAACTGACATCAAAAAATAAAATATAATCTCCTTGAAACTGTCATGGTAGCACACTCCCCAGGGTATGCTCGTGAGCGGTCGTTTTGATGGGACAACAGTGTTAGAAGCTTTGACCAAATTATGTTCTCGTTTCTTCGGCAATGTGCCACTCTCTTCAAAAAATAGGGGTGTGTGTATTTCTCCACACACACTTTTAGTTCATACGTCCCTCCCCGATTCAACCTACTCACACCTGCATAAATATGGTTTCACCTTTAATATTTGCATTTGGGCATATGGTTAGATTCCGTTATGTGGTATGATACAACAAATGTTCCATATGGTCACATGACTTACATTGTTTGGCCGATATCATTTTGTGATTGTCGAGTTAAAATCAATTCATACTTTTAGCTGCACCTTGTACGATTATGAAGTAAGTCAAAAAAATACCACTGAGGGCGCTATACACACATATTTGTCAATATATGAGCAATGGTATACATATAAATAAAATCATGCTGTTTAAATATAAATATATCTAAATGTAGACTATTTGTGTGACGTTGTGTCATGTGACATTGACTTTAATGTCTCCAATGATATGTTGTTACACGCCGTGACCTAAATTCTTAATTATGCTAAAATAAAACACATCTGATTGCAGAGCAGGCATCCGTGTAATTATGTATGTATGCATGCATGGTACTTAGTACTGGGTGGCTGACGGGAAAACTATCAGACATCGGTAATATTTGTGAAATAGCTCTAGCTGATCCACTTTTTTATGCAATACACGGCAGTAATCACCAATGATTTCGGTCTGTCTCGGGCTACACTGCCGGCATCTCGACAGTGACGCACCAAAATACCGTATCTTTTTTTTTTGAAGCTCATTATATACGCAATTTAATTTCCCTGTAAGGCCACACCGACTTAATTGTATGGATGACAACCACGCGCGCATTAGTTTTCGCCTTTTCTCAACAAAAAAAAAAAAAAAAATCTCCAACTTGGTAAAGTTAAGGATCTGACTGTAAACAGTGGAGAAGACATTTGATGAAGTTTGTGTTTTTAGGACATTTTTTATTTACAGTGGAACACTGGTGTGGCGTAATAGGCTTGTCTGAATTTAGGAAATTATTGGATACTGTAATTCGTTTCATTGTTTGCGCAGACACTGTAAACAATGAACGTACACGTGAAAGACGTCGGATTACATGTTGATAACAGCTTTATTGAAAGTGTTGCACCAGGAAATCACACAAGGCGACTGTAGTATTTATTGTTCACAGTTGACTTTTGTATTACTATACGGAACACAGCCAGACCTGCATACAAACTTTGGGGGACACACAGTAGGTTCGGATAACCGAACATTTCGGATATAAATCGACGTTCGGATAATCGACGTTCTACTGTACTTCATCATGACTACATGTACTAGAGCTTGTCTGAAATGGTTATACCTGTGACAGTAATACAGTACGAGATGTGTATATCAACATGTGCCTCCTACAAATAAAGACTTCTTGTTGTTCTTTGATACATTGTGTTCTGTGGTCCAATTCGTAATAGCAGCTCCGTAGTCCTGTGCTTTTAGCAGGATTTTTTTTTTTTGGCAGGATTTTTTTTTTCGCCCTCTCGCATTAGTTTTGGGGTCTCCAGAGGATGTCATCCATAAAATTAAATCAGTGTGGCCTAATGGACTGAATTAAAGCCCGAATGTTAGCCTTGGGATATGAAGTATGTTATGGATGAAACAATCCAGCGGCCAGGTTTAGCTCAAGTGTTGGTAGAGGAATCTGTCTCCTTTTTTGTTCGGGGATCAAGTAATACTTGACCGCTGGTGGCAGGCTTGCGATTTTTAACGCACGCATGTCTTTTGTAAGACACGCTACAAGTGAGGTCTGTTAACTCAAGGGGTTGACCCTGACCTATCTGTCAATAGGTGAGGAATTCCATAAAATCCAGATCCACATCTCTTCTGAAATCCAACCGCTTGGATCCTGATTGAAGAGCGACCCCTGATTAAAAACTTGGTAATTGTTAAAAACATTTTGTTTCCAACAAGATCCAGATCTCAACCAACCTTTTACCGATTGGTGCCCATTATGATTTTATGCAAATCCATCTATAGGTATAGGTATTTAATCAGTCCCGAAATTACTGTTTCCCTCGCAACCAAATCCACTTCTCTGACAAAAGATAATCAATGGTGCCAAGAATCAATCGATAAGCTTTTGAGGTACACATGAAAAATCATTACCGAAATTGTTGTTGCCATGGCACCCGCAGCCACATCTCTAGTAACAACTAACGGCTGGGTCATTGCATTAAGAGCAACCTCATGATAATATCATGATACTCTGTGCATAATTATCAAATTTGATGTTTCCATGGCAACCATATCTAACAATTTCATGAGAATCCCATCCATTTTTAGTTACATATGAAAACTCATTTTCAAAATTAATGTTTCCATGGCAACCAGATGTACACAAATGTAACCAATTATTTCATATCGAAATCAACTTCTCTCTCGTTTTTGAGTTATAAATTACAAAAAAGTTACAAAAGTTTATAAGTTACCAAAAAAGATGCTTTTACCACAGAAACTGCGTCCACAACTATACCGAAATCTAGTTGATTGCTCCTCATGTTTATGGCACTCCTTCCTGGTAATTTCGTGGGGATCAATCAATAATCTAATTATGTTATTTAATTGTTTTAGCAACAGCATACAACAAAACTACATGTTAAAAGTATATTGGAAAACGTCTGAAATTTGCAAGTGGTGATGAAAAAGCATATTATCTTCAACCTCCGACACATTTAGTGCACCTCTTTTGTTCATGTAGAATGTTTAGTCTTTCATGTTCTAATTCAATTTCCAATTTATGGCAGCTAAGTTTGACATTAATTTAACATCTTTCCTTTCTTTCAGTTACTATGTCTCATTATTAATATCAATATACCTTGGGGGTAATAAAATGGATGATTTCCTGAGAAAAAAATTAATATCAATGTTATAAATTTCTGTTATTTTTTAAAATGACTCCTGAATCTTTTTCTTTTTTGTTTATTTTAACATAATCAATACAAACTGTACACCCCCCCCCTACACACACACAAATACACAGAATGAGCTTCATTACACATAAGAAAAATTACACGTCAAAATAGAAAAAAAAATAGAAAAATACCATGTTTCAAGTTGTCAATACGATAAAAAAAATACTGCTAGAACTTTGGTACTAGTTGCTCATTGTGTAAAGTGTGCCCTATATATTTTTGAACACAATTAGCATATCCTCTTGTAACGATGTGTGTACTTTCGACCTGTAAATCTTTATAGTTTTCAGTATTTCCCAAATTCTGAGATTGCGTAGTATGTATTACTTATACGACCAATGTTATAAAATTACCATTGAATGTTGGTTATCATTAATGGTCTTCAAATTTCAAGGCTTACAATCAATTGCACTTTATTGTTAAAAGGTGGCGGCTGTCGCGCCGCATCGTGTTCGATATAGAACTCATAGCGACGTACACAGCGCGTGTAAAATACATTGTTTGTTTACATGAAATTGGTACACGCGCTGCGCTACGACCGCCGCCCTTTAATACTAAGTAGATGATGACGAAAGCCGAGATGGAACTTTCCAGTGTCAGTTGTGTAGCTGAAAGTACGAACCTAGTGTTCGATACTAATAGTTGTGCGTACAAAGATTATAACTGCTTCCTTTTAAACTGTCGGTAAGTTTATATATATATATATAGGAAGGTAGTCAATTATTCCAGGTGAGAGTGCTCGATACTAAACGATGAGTTTGTAGAGCAGATTTACATACGTGGACAGAGAAATTAAGACACGACTACATGAGTAAAGTTCACTCTACAGTACTGTTTCGTAAGGTACATGGAGTACCTCACTCATATATATATATATATATATACAGGCATCTGTTCAGCATGCTTCTGTTTTCAGATACAGCAATGTAATTTGTTGCCCGGTGTCATGACATCGCCCGTTCATGTCCGGCTGGGCGAGGCCACGCACAGAAAAACTAAAATATCGATGCGTTATTTTCTCCTCCTTCATCATGTTGGGTGCATGTACTTTGCAACGAGAAACACGATCTGGGAATGCAAGCCTGTCGAGGAATTCGGTAACTTGTAAAGCCAAGAGCGAATATACTCATCCACCTCTCTACTACGTTATTACGGTTGCAACTTGATCCGTGCACTATAATAATGCCTCTGTATATATAGAACTCGGTGTGCTGCCCGAACGTGTATCGATCGCGTCGACCAGATTGACCGTGTGAGGAACCTCCAGAGCCACGTTTGCCGGTGCAGGAGGCAACAAAACTATCGAACGTATTCCCCGTTCACGATTTCCCCTTCACTGACAACAGAGTTCACGATGAATCCGCCGACGAGTGTCACAGTTATTGTATTTCTCCTAATTGGTGTAATTGCGGCAGTTTCTTTAGAAGGGGTGCCTCCGCGGTCGGATTCAAGTCCGGGATATCATAGATCAACGTTTCTTGTGAGTATTTCTAGTTTTATCTCCCTTATATTATGTACTCTAGTGCAAATTTCATTTCAGTTCCGGCTTATAATGATAAAATGCCTACAAGGGGTAGACTACGACTTTTTAATGATGTTTATATTGTGGCATTCCCGTAGGTGAAGGGTGCGCGGTCCGCCGTTCCTGCACAGTGCTCAATCACTACCTTATACAAACGATCACAATGAATTAGTGGTTTGAAAATAAATAATATCACAATAATAATAAATACTTTTTTTCTAAATTATATAACAAATATTATAAGCTGTAAAAAGAACTTCGTGGTTTAATATAATTGAGAAAACCCACAAATTCGAAAAGTTGATCACGGTGTAACCAGCACAACGTGGTACACTGCAAGTGACCAGCTCTGAAAAGCCCCGAATATACCCCCGATTTATCGTACACGTGGGAAAATGCAGTAACGCGGCATTACGACCAAGCAGACAAGCATCAGTAAACATGTCAGGTAAAGCTGTCATCGATGCTGGTGTCTGCCCACCAACGACATTGTACGTGTTAAAACAACATATATA